ACATGTATTGGATATCGTTAAGATGACTGTTGACAGTCGTTTTTCAAGAAATTGTAAGGCCACTTTTCACACTGAATTATCTACGGAATTATCTATGGACTTTCTTCCGTTTTCCCAATCGTGACAAGGAGCATTCTGTGCGACCGTTCAACAAGGGGTGTTTACTTCTCCATTACACCCGATCCCACCTCTAATGCCTTTAAAGGTCCGTGTTTTCCATGACCTCAGTTTGTATTATTCCAATGGATTTTACTTGATTACCTTGTTATCTTCATAATTCATTCCAATTTCCAAGTTAACACAAATTCAATATTGAATGTGCTGCAATGGAGAAACTGACCATGACAAACTTGTATGTTTTGCATCATGCTGGTCATACTATGCGTTATGCTTTGGATGCAGCATATTCCTGTAGAGTTTTAGCTGCCGTGTGTGACCCGTATTTTGGGGATTAATGATATAGATGAAATGTATGGAGATAATGAACAGTATTCAATCTCAAAAGTCCATTAAACAATACAAAATTGGAGCAGAGAAAACAGGGACCTCCAAAACATCAAAACATCATGATCAGATGTGGGATCAGGAGCCATGGAGGAGTGAGTTTTCCTTGCCGATCGGTCACACCCGCCGTGTGTTCCTTGTCATGATCGAGAGATAACGGGAAAATCCGTCGACAATTCAATGTATATATAATGACCTAATAATTAAGTAGGATCTCTACACCTATGAAGTTTAACTGATTTTTGTTGCATGAATTTGTTTCTAATAATAGACTCAATATCCGATAAAATAAGGTTCCAAAGTATTTCACTTTACTTTTTAGAAATATTTAAAATATTTTATTTATTTTGTTAAAGCCCCTCCTTTCTATATTTTTAAAAGCCCAGTGCTTTAAATTTCTCTTCAAAGTTTAATGTTATGAAATGTTAAAATAATAACCAACAGTGTTATGAATAAAATCTACATAATTTTTATTCAAATTTACAAAAATAAACAAAAGAAAAATTAAAACAGCATTTTCTTGAGAATAGCTGGTTGGATCTTCTCTAATATCTGAAAAGATATGTAATACCAAAGGGTAAATGCAATGAAAAAAGGAAATGGAACAAAATTGAAAAACTGTCAAAAATTTCAGCAACTTGTTTGTCTATAACATCTGTCTTTCAGTATATGAGATTGTAATTTACGAGCACATGTATTTATCCTTCTATGTCATTCTGCTTATTTAATCTTAAAATTTCTTCTCGACCATATTGTAAATTTTAATAGCATCTTTTACAGCGAGAGGTCCTGTGCCAGCTGTGATTTTGACGTATATGAGGAGCGGATCCTCATTTTTTGGAGAAATGCTTCAAGCGAGCGAGGACGTTTTTTATCTGTTTGAGCCACTCCGGACTATACAGTTTCATATAAGAAAGAGCAACACCTTTAGATATCTAGATGGTGGGAGCAGGTAAACTGTGACGTACTTTATAATCTGTTATTTATGATACGTTTATGCTTTGACAATCAAACTTCTCAACTTTTTTTTATCCTTGCAGAAACTACACAAGCTTTCTAGATGCAGCAGGCGATGCTTTGAACGAAATCTTCCAGTGTAATTTTGAAAAGCTTCCTCTACCGTTTTTTGCTGATGGATTTTTAAAGAAGGGAAGAAAATCAAGGGAATTTAAAGCTTGTTTGGGAAATAAATCCACCAATAATATAAGTGCCACTTCAGCAACGTATCAGTGCATAATGAGGATAAAACATCTCTGTCTAGAATCAAAGTATATTATCATTAAAACTATTCGGATACCCTTGGCAGTTTTAGTTCCACTCTCAGAGCTATTTCCCGATCTTATGATCCTCCATTTATTAAGAGACCCACGACCAACTTTAAAATCTCAGTCTCGCTTTGGAATTGTGAAAAGTAGGTTTTTACAAGAAAATGCTACTAGTTTTTGTAACAGAGTATACACTGATATAATAATAGCAAAACATACACCCACTATTGCACCACATCATTATTTCCCAGTTTCCTATGAAAATTTAGCCAAGTATCCATTACAGATGGCAAGAAATATTTACAGATATCTGGATATAAATTTGAATGATAACGTTACGTCTTTCATTGAAAACATGACTATGGCGGATAAAACCTGTAGTGAGTCCCGAATTGCAAAAACAATGTGTACAAAGTCGTCCAATTCCAGTGCGGACGCCGACAGATGGCGCTCTAAGATACCTTTCGGTTTCGTGTCTATAGTGGACAATGTCTGTTCCCTGTTATACAGGGTTATTGGTTTACGTAGTATACCTAGTGAGGTTCATTTAAGGAATCTTTCATTCTCTCTGAGAGGAGATACCTTAGCTGACACGGGGGATTTCAGATATATATAATTGTCATTATATATATATTTTGGCCTAAAATTTTTTTTTTCGAACAGGGAAATTAAGTTTATATGCTCTGAAAGTTTTAAGATACATTTCTAGTCAGCAGAATCTTTCGTTGTAAAGATGGAGAGAATGCCAAAAACGTAAAACAAATCTGAAGAGTTTTGGAACATAAGGGTGAATAATATTTTTCAGCTCTCAATTGAATTTATGATAAAGAATAATTCGAATTTTCAAGAATTATTTCCTCAATTAATCTGACAAATTTTCTTGTCATAGAACTCACCTTTTCAATTGTTTGCTATAAACTGTGTTTAAGTGTATTGATGTTAATAAGTATCAGATGTATTTCTCAACTTATGTTTACTCTTTACAAATGTTTATTGTCAAGATTATTTAGTATTTTATGAATCATTTTGTTTGGTATACCAAGGGATTCAACGGTAGTAGAAAACGCTTGCTAATCTGCATACTCCCCCACACAGAAGGGGACACACACCCCTCACACAGACATCCTAACCCCTTACAATCACACCCTTATACCCTAGCTCTCACACACTATACTCTCAAACAATTTCTCCGAAGATGATATTAAAATGATGCTCAAGTTTTTGATTGACAATATCAGTGTAGTTTTCTGGAGTTGGAGTCTTCCAACAATCTGTTGGAATTCCAATGGGGTACCCATAACACTCTGTTACTAGCAAACTTAATTTTGTATTTTTATGAGACAGAGTTTTTTCAAAATCTTATACATGAGAAAGAGAAAAACTTCCATCGGCCTTCAACTCAACATTTAGCTATATTGAAATCCTTTTGGTTTAACTTGGTCTATATATATATATACTTGTCCTCTGTTATTCAATTTTCCAGAAGACTTCATGTACAATGTAGAATGGGTTACATATACACAACAGGCAAAGTATCGTTTGCTTAGCCTAGAAGTGTATTACTTTTTTTTTTTACTTTATCTGGTTAATATTTTTTTTCCTCGTTTTTGCATAAAATACATATATCAGAAAGTAAATAATATATTGATCTAAATCTTATTGTTCCAACATATGTTTATAATATCTATAGATACGTTCAAAATTATCATTAACTGGACTTCCAATACTAATACTTTGGAAAGAAAAGACAAATAAGGAAGAAAAAGCTGGACAGTCATTGATCGTGTGTTTTGTTCTTCTTAAAAGTTCCTCTTTCACATTTTCCGTTTCTTTGTGATGTCTTTTGTATGCCATGCCTCTCGTTCCCTTGTTTAAAGTTTCATTTGTAACATACTTTGCTGTTGGATGATGTTACTTCAGTAAAAGTGAGTAGAGATGGTTAGTTAGTGTCAGTGTATTATTTTTACTGCAGTAAACGTAATTGTGAATAATGTTGCCAAAAAGTATTCTTACTTCATTGAGAAGGTAAATTATTTTTATTCGAGTAAAAATAATTTTTTTGGAAAAAATATTTAATTGTGAGTAGCATTGTCCAGTGTTTTTCATTTTTACTGCAGTAAAAATAATTTCAGTGGAGTGAAAATATAATAATTGTGAGTTGAACGGCCAGCCATAATCGACGACATATTATCACATAACAATAATTACTTTCATTCGTTTGTCTCGTCAATATATCTACGTAAATTTGAAATAAAAGATACTACAGAGTCAGTCAAATCTTTTTCGTATATGGATATTTCATATGAAAAAGACTATCTTTATGAAAAACGTAATGTCTTCACATTTTCCTTCGCCAATATATGAATAAAGCATTTGGAGTTTATGTCTCCCAATTGATTCGTCACGCAAAAACATGCTTTACAAGAGAAAAATCTCTAAAATGAGGCAAGGTTCGATTCATTTTTAAAACGAGACAAGTTATTGACAAATGAAACAAAGATATCAACAGTTTCGTTTCAAAACCTTGCCTTAATGAGACCTGCCCGATCATGACAATGAACACATGGCGCGGGTGTTTGGTCGATAGGGGATGCTAACTCCTCAATTGTATCAGATCTCTCCTCTAATTATTTAAAGGTCATTATTTTCTCTGCCCTACCTATTTGTACAACATTAATACAACATCCACCTAAGTCTCAATAATGTTATAGAATTCTCGATCGTTTATGAGATATCTAAAAAAGTGTTTAAGATAAGGTCCTAATTCCGGGAGTCTTTTCTGAGAAATCTTGCGAAAATAAAAAAAAAAACAACAGAATAAAAAGATGGTCTTCCCTTTCGACTGTCCTTGATATCAGAGAAAAAGAACGCAAAGAATATTGGAGTTTAATATTAGATACGGAAGATATTAAAAATTGTTTCTTCTCTTAACTGAATTGTTGAAAAGAACGAATATGTGTGAAATGAATATTATTTATCGTAAATCCAATATAAGTTTTTATTTTGATTTGTTCAATGTAAAACGTTAATTAAAAAAAAAAGATTACAATAAGCATTAAGACATACATAAGGAAAGTTTCAAGCGAAAATGGGGATGGCGGATGGGTCGGTCTCCTGATAGTTAGGAAACACAACAATGATAAATCGCTTTCAAAATGTTGTATTATAATTAATTTGATAATTTTCATGCTTCGCAGATATAGCCACCATGATATCTGCCATTATCACAATAAACATCATGGAACGTGTACCGTTCTCCTGCATAGAAGAACATACAGTCCTGGGGAGAATTGTCAGATCCATTGGGTTCTCCGACACCAAAAGCATGATACATCATCTTAGTCATTTGTCCGTGCTTGATCCACCTCCAGTCCCCTCCTGGTTTTCTTCTGTTTACGTTTCTTCCCCCAAAGTAAAAGTGAATCCCTTTTAAATTTAACAATAACATTACAATGGAACATGAAAAATCTTTTTTCCCGTAACAATTGAAGACAAAAAGAGTATAAGTATTTACAATTTTCAAAAAGGAGACATAAGTAACTTTAAAATTTATAGTTCTTTTTTTCATTAATGTTAAATTCATACCTTTATTCATTTTCTTTAGAACCCTTTTCATTCGCAAAGCCTCTTCTATATAGTTTCAAAGTTAGCCAGGTAGCTACCAGTGTCTAAACACTTGGCCTTTAGGATATAAAAAAACATTGAATGATAATATATGTATTTTTTTTCAAAAGTGAATATTGTTTATCTACTATCATTTGTATATACTCATTCCCACATCCGTTTCTACTTACATGTACAAACGCTGTGTCGGCTGACACCTTATCCTTCTTGGTCAGGTAACAAGAATCCCACATCTTTTTATACTGTGCAGGGCATTAAGAGAAAAATCCCAGAAAAAATTCTTCTTTACTTAGATTAAACTAAATACCTCCAACGATTTCCACTGCATCGATTTCCACCCAAAATGGAGAAACAGAACAATCAACTTCTATTCTCACCTCGTTCACAGGAAAATTCACTATCTGAATTTGTTGAGGAGCAATTAAAAACTTTTTAAATGATTACGATATTATGATATTCAGATCATTTATTGTCGATTAGGAAGAGTGAAGAAGAGCATATCATCACTATATTTTCAGGTCTTTATCATACTTAGTAGTCCTTTGTGTAAATTTCCAAACATTTTCCTTAAGATTCTTTCTTACCCTAACACAAGACAAATGCTTAGTAACTAAGAGAGAAATTTAAAAAAAAATCATTGCGATATATAAACCATGAATTTTAAAAACGGACAATGAGTTTGTACTAAAGTACTAGTAGTACTTTGATAAAAATACAATTTTGTTTTTAAAAAACTCACTTTTAATTTGGTTGAGAATTTCCTAGCCATTCTGATTGGGTGTACATGGGAAACCTCAAAAATTTCAATCCATTGGTTTTTTTTATCCTTCGCCAGTATTCTCTTGACAGTTCCAGCATTATATGTTTCATAAATATTTACTTTAGTTAGCCAAACCTTTTCTGGAAATCTAACCTGGAAATGAAACAAAAGCATACCTTAAATATTACTTTGCAAAGTTCGCTTTTAGGAAACATATAAAGATAACGAACAGTATTCAATATTAAAGCCCATAAAACAATACAAAACAGAAGCAGAGCAAACGCGGACCTCCAAAACATCAGAGGTGGGATCAGGTGCCATGGAGGAGTGAGCATTTCCTGCCGACCGGTCACACCCGCCATGCACTCCTTGTCATGATCGAAAAAAGATTAAAAAAAATCCGTCGTCAATTCAATGTATAAATAATGGACTAACAGTTAGTATGTAAACGTCAGTCAGCATTTGACTCAAGGATAAATTGTATTTGCTGACAAGGTCATTGTATCGACCAGAAAACTGACGAAATGGTGACTTTAAACGAGACTTCTGATATTCTTGTTTCATCAACTTGTTTGTCAATAATTTACCTCGTTTTAGAAATTGTTCATACGTAGAACATGCTCTTACGTATCGAATCAACTGAGATATATAAACTCTGTATGCAGGTGATGAAGGTACTAGTATATTGCTGCATACGAGGGCTGTTCAATAAATAATGTCCTCGGTGCTTGGAAAGAAGCAAAAGACGCTTTTCAATGATTTTGTCTTCATTATTTTACTTATTAATCTCTTTTAATTACAACACATGTCCGCAACCTTTTTTATCCAATTTCCGATTGATTTTAGAACTCATTTTTGGGTATGACCCTTGGTATACTAGAAAATGGCAGATCCAATGATTTCCTTGACTTGTTTCTTCCTTATCAAAGGTGTTTTTTTTTCAAGTTTGGAAATATAAATCAGTCAAAAGGTCAAAGATCTCGCGAATATTGTTAATGTGAAAAAATATTAACTATCTGTGTATCCCGAAAACCCCTTTACCCTTCAGGGTGTGCGGATTTGAACGCTATCATGAAGAAATTTAATGTAGTGGATTCCTGATTCTGGGTCCTTCCTCTAATAAACCTTTCAATTCTTTTGCAAAAAAATTGTTTTCTAGACTCATCCAGAAATTAAACTGTCTCCCCGAATACGAATTTGAACAACAATACTACTAATATTTAAGAACATTG